AGACTGATTGGAAAAGGGGTGGAGCTAACAGGTGTGCTGAATCCTGAATCAGACCAGCAGTGCCAGGAATCATGACAACTTTAGCATACATTTTTGTACTTTCATTGTATTTGAAGTGTTAATGTCTGGTATGATGATATGAAAATAGTAATGAATGATGCCTTCCTTTAAATGTAATAAAAAAGAAGATGCATAGAGCTTCTATCTGCAAAAACTTATTTAAAAGGGAAAGCCTAAAAGATTTCCCCATAAATAAAATAAAGCTATTTAAATATGGATCTAGAGGTGATTTTGACACCTCATACCAAAGTCGTACTCTCAACTGTTTTGGTCAAATGTTTGAATGTCATAGACCATACGAATGCTACAGTTTTATGTATTTTTAAACCTGAAAAAAGAGAAGAAACATTAAACTTTTTTTTATTAATTCACAACTGAAAACTATTTAAAAGTGAACATATAAAGCAGATGAAAAATTAAAGCATGATAGAAATAATGAAACAATAATTGACTACATTGGATAAAGTTGCATTTATCAGTTTCTGTTTTCAGGACAGATTAATGCTTTATTTAAAAGAGGTAAAACAATCTGCACATCTTAGGTTCTGGAATAGGTTGAGGGATGTAGGAGATTAATGCTGTTTTCCCATTAGCTGTTTGAACACAATGAGAAGATGTCTGTGATAACTTTATGGGGTCAGTATAATCCATACTTGACCAACAACATTGTATATAGGCCCAACACCACTTACTGCTTTATGGTGCGTTCACACGGGAGGTGTTGAACACCGTGATTTCCGTGAGCCCTGCAGGTAGTTCACTGCTCTGCATTTCAGATGCACAATGCATCATCAAATAAGGGGAGCTTCAGCTGCGTGAAGCTGACACCCCACTGACGTGAAAAAAAAAAACTCAGCAAATACACTGAATGGTTAGTGCTTCTTTTGTGCAGTTTTGTGCATTTAAAATGGAAGAAAATAAATAAAAAAAGATCCCATGTGCTGCTGTTGTTTCAGAGATATTAAAGATTATTTTTCGGCAACCCAGAGGTCAGGTATAAGCTTAAGCTCAAAATTGAATCAAAATGATCTAGACTACTTTTTCAGTGCTACTTCATTTGTTCAGGTAAAACTGTCATTTGTGGTCATTCGATTTTTAAGGTAGAATAATTTTTTGTTTAGTTAAAAACGGCCCAATCCTGCTCATTTTGATATAAAGTTATTGTATAAAATCACATGTCATTCCTATGCTGGTATTGAATATAACAGAGGGCATATTTATCTTATTTAGTGGCTGGAGTGATTGTTTAATATTAACTAAATCACCAGCCTCCTGGCCCTTTGCTTTGGACCTGCCGTTGCCCCTGGTAACCCCATTTAATTTCCTGTCAAGTTCTCGCTGTCTGCACCTAACAATAAAAACACAGGTAAAACTAAACATCACAGACTAATGCTAAATTATTATTTATGAACAAACTTTGAATCGCCTTGGGGTGACCATCATTGCTTTAAAAAGCCCATAAAGCTCTGAAAAAAAGGAGTCCACTTTGGTTCAGTTCTGCTTCGGTCTGATTTGGCGGGACTTCGTAAGCGAAAAAAGCTTAACATACAACCAGTCCCTGATTGGTTGCCAAATTCCCAAAAATTTGTTTCAACTTCAGCAATCCCCGCTCTCTACTCTAAATGCGGTGCAACTGTTTAAGAACACCTCAGCTCTATCTAGTAGCACGAAGTGAGGGAGGATCAATGAACGCTATCACCAAGTGGAGCTCACCGCTGGCCACTTCACCGCCCTTGTTTGTGGTTTGTATGGGAATTCTATGTGAACCCACCACCCGGTTTGAATGCACCATTACTGTATAGACCATGTGAACATACAGATAGTGTTCCTGTAATTAGATGTAAGACAGTAGTAGCAACAAGTCCTTTTTACATCAAGTTCTTTTAAAGACAAATATTCAACATGCAAATTAGAAAGTTTAATAAATCTACCTCAATATTTTGCCAGTATGATTATTAATGAGCATATCATCAGCATAAGGGTGTAAACAATGACCTTTCACAATGTGGCACAAAATTATAATGTAAATTATTGCCTTAGAGGGTAGATATTATTCATACATGACCAATAATTGTTTGCAGACTCAACACCATTTAGTGCCTTAGAGACCAAGTGCAAATATACATATAGTGTACCCGCTATAAAATGTAAGTGGAAACAACTAAACATTTTTCATGTTTAATGATTGCCATTTCATTTGTCTGAAGAATATATTTCAATATGTATATATATATAACTGTTTCAACAAGAGTATATCAAAGATGAAAGTAAACAAAAAGGTGACATTACATTTTGTCAGCATGTTTATAAACAAGAGTGTTATCTGCATAATGATGTAAACATTGGAATTTGACGTTCTAGATTACAACAGTAATGTAAGGCATTCCTAAAATTCAGATTGCTAAAAGAGAGTCCATTGATTGACACTAGCACATCTTGAGACCATAAACATATATGTATTTTTTATGACATCTGTAAGCTTGAACAGTTATGTCCAATAGGGTAAGCTGTTGAGCTATTATAGAGTATGCAGCACAGTAGAAACTGGCCTCCCTCAAAATGAGGAAACATTGAGTAGAGGCAGTTGGCCTACATCATGCAAAATCCATGCATGTGTTAGTAATTCTCACAAATTCCGTTACTTTAAACAAGTGGCAAATACCATCCCGCATGTGAAAGTGTTAACCCACCCCCTCTAAGTAGCAAAAACCTTGTGCCGTGCATGGTCATTAAGGAAAAAGCCACTTTCTACAGTTAGGAGTGATCTGAGTTTCAGTTGCAAGAGGTCACTGACTTTGTTCTCTCTTCCTAAACAAAAGATGAATCACCTGAAGTAGTGTGATACAGTGACATCCTAATTTGGGCAGCACCAAGAGGGTAAGGGCTGGCTTCACTTTAAAGCTACAGTGTGTAATTTTTAGCGACATCTAACGTCCAGACTGCAGACCGCAGCAACATGAACATCTCCCTCCCACCGCTTCTCCCCCCCAACAGTACGGCGAGCGTTACGGGACAAAATGTCTTCCACGACGTCCGCATCACCTACCTTCTCAAGTGATGAGGTTTGTTTACATAGATAATTTTAATACTGCCATCTATTGTTCAGTACCGTCTCAGTTCATCTCTCTCAACTTGCCGTAGTTACTTTCGAGCGTAATGGGCGATCTCGCAATCGCTAGTTTGTTGGCTCTGCGCTGCCGTAGCGCAAAGATGTCTGCCTCCATGGCTGCGAGACCCGCTCCTATGTAATTATAAATAACGAATTCTAAGGCAACGCAAATATTAAGGTTAAGAGGCTGAGCTCGTAGATGATGATAAATAACATAGTTATGTATAATATATTACATTTCTGACTGTATATCCCTGTAATTATTACACACTGTAGCTTTAAAGGAGAGTGTCTTTCTTGCAGGTTGAAAGAAATTAAATTATATTTCATTACAAATCAGTACTCTGTAGTGTCAAAGGCCATATTTATTCATACGTATGGCTATAGTTGACTTTTAAATGTTTAAAAAAGCATAAAGAGCTTTGTACAAATTCTAGTGTTGACGCTGAATTCTTAAGGCATCGATAATGTGAAAATGTGGCTGATCTGAAAATCTGTAGTTATATTCCTCCAACCACTTTAGAAAAAAAGCACCATTCTATTTATATTAAAATTGATCAATTCTAAAAATGTGACCGATTTTGTCAACACAAATGGATACATAGAGGTATGGCATGTTACCATGTGAGGTCAGAAGTAGCTACTTACATCTACTATGTTAAGTGTACTTGAGTAACATTTTGTCAGCCCTGTTTAGGAATCCTTTCTGAACCATTCTTGACCTACCCCGCTGGTCCTATCTTCACTGAAAACACATCAGCTGACATAGACAGATATTTAAATTTATATTACAATTAGTACAGTTGCTTCTATAAACACAAACTTTTAATGACGTTCTAACAGCAGATATTTCCACCGGCGGTACATCTCTGATTTTTTTTCACTCATTCTAATATTTTAATTAAAATGTTTTGTATTATCCATATTCTGTTCTTTAGCATCTTTTTAAATGTATCCCTACTGATTGTGTTTAATCAGTTGGAATCAGAGGAGATTTACAGTCTAGTTCTGCTAAGGAGGAATGCTGATAACAGACTGGTTTAGGCTTGAAACAACCTACTGTCTCCCCCTCCTCTGTCATGTATAACATAGTGTGCAAATCCTTCTTTGCATGGTCTTTTTGCATTTCTAAGCACAAGAGCCTGCAAACGCTTTATACCTCTGAATAAATGAGTGGTGGTCTCTCCCTCCTCGATAAATATGAATACCACAACACCAACTAACATATACTCCTTATATGATGTTATGTTTCATTAGGCTTTTGTTTAAACATTTCTTTATCTGTAACATTACTGATAAAACTGATTCTGACGAGATAGTGAAAACATCTTCAGAATAATCTTTCTTAATGAAACAGCAAGGAAATTTGTCTTAATAATTGTCAAATTGAGTTGATCTTGACACATTTTTGGTAGAAAGGTTTTCATAAATTTCACAACTGTTCCTTTCCAGATTTTCCAGGTTAACAGTGACCTTGTTGCTGGCTGAGGGGGTTTCAGTTTCCTGCTGATGGTGATGAAAGGTGATAGTTTGGTAAAGATCCCCCGTTGGCTGCTGAAGAGTTTGGTACAATTCATCTGAGTTATCTCCATCCTAAGCAAAACAAAAAACAGAAGCTCCTAAATGTGTTCAAAAAAATAACAAATCTAAGACCATTAGTGTTTCAAATGGATTTGCCCCCCCCCTCAAAAAAAAAAAGCTCAATAGTTTGTTGTCACATTCCAAAGAGAGAAAATAATTTCTCGTATGCATATTGCGTTACGATTGCTTGTATTACAGTTACTCTACCTTGGATGCCTCCATCTGAGTGCAACAAGATAATATTTTGGTTATTTTTATTTGATGCTAGCTAACTATTGAAAACTGTGACTTATAAAAACTGCAATAACTTACTGTAGGAGAGCCAGATCCATGTACATATGATCCAGATTCTTCTGACTTTACACAGCCACTTTAAATACAAAAGAATCTCTGGGTTAGTGTATTAAAGAGTAATCATCTAGACATTGAACTTGATTGATAAAAAATTTCAGTAGCTGAAGAGTAATAGAAGAGGTATGCATATGATGCAAGAATGGACCAAAAAGGACTTTTAAAAAATCAGTGGCATGCATTAGGTATTAAAATTTAACTGAAAAAATTCATTAGTTTCTCACCAATGTAGATGTCTTCTGTGAATAACTTTCACCATGCCACAAATTATTATAAATAAGAGAACTGTAGCCGTCAAACCTGAAGGAAGGATCACTCCTGAAAAATGGGTTGGATCACTTGAAAAAGGTTCTTGTGGGAAGAAATAAATACATTGTTTGAGATTATATTGCTAGTATAAATTTTAAGTCAGCCAACATAAATGTATTCTGACCTTTAACTGTGATGTTGAGATAAAGAATATATGTTCCATCGAGTCTTGAACACTCACAGGTGTAGTTTCCAGTATCTGCTGGTGTTAAACTGGTCAGGTACAGAAACACAGTGTCATTCCATGTTTTAAGGCTGAACCTGGAGTCACACTGATGAACAAACTCGCCTCCTTCCCTGTACAGCAGACGGCACTCCTCTCTGCTGTTCCTCAATGTTCTGATCCTACACACTATCAGTGTGAGGACATTTGATGTTTCATTTGTGCAGATTCGAATCGAATGTGGTTCTTTGTTGATTATTTTAAGAACAATTGCTGCAAACAGTAAATTATAAACAGAATTAATGAGTGTAAAATATACAAGGTGATTTAGATCCAATAACACTCTACCAACAATAGGTTAAATTCTGTGGTAAAACTGCATCTAAAATAGAATAATTTACTTTACGTTACCTTCACAGTCCCAATAGCACCCAAAACATAGCAAAAGCAGTAAAAGGCTGATTCTTACTGCATCCATCTGACCAGCTTTCCTCAGAGGCATTCAGTATGCTGTGAAGAATAGATCTCACCTATACTATTTCCTCTTCTTTAGGGCTAACAAAAAATATATTTGTTTCCAAAGATGGAATAATAGGATGTGAAACTTTTCTGAAAAAGGAAATATGTCTACATACTGTAAATGCTTCTCTCTGAAACAATAAAGTACACAGTTTGGAAGTGCAGCTACCTAACTCACTGTCTTAGGTAAATTGTTCAGTCTATCTTTCTAATTATAACAATAATGTTATTTCTATGAATTATTACAAATGGTTTGCAACCTCTTAGATCCCTTATACCCCATATCTCGGGTCTGAGAGGATAGGAATAATTTGAGTGAAAAAAAAGATATTTAATGTTTTTAACTGAAAGAAAAACATAAAAAAGTTTCATAATGTGGTATTTGTAAGGAAATGTAAAAGTTATGTCAAAAAAATTATTTAAAAAACCATTTAAAAAAATGAGTAAAAACCTTCTTTAAATGAAATAGAAAAGATTGACTTCTAACTACTGAATAGATTTCGCGATTGATAACTCTTGTCTTAATAAAATGTAGGCTGTTCAGAGCCTACATACTACAGAAGCCGAGAGCGGTTGTGTCCCTCTGATATTATTTCACGGTTGTTTTCTCGAGTAAACAAGTATATTTTTTCATTATCTAAAGATAAAGGAAGCTGTTTTCTCGTGATAACAAGATGATAATTTTTTCATTAGAAAGTAATTTTCTCATCGTAACGAGATGATTGGTGTGTGTTAAAACAGATTACATCCTTCAATACCACAACAGTGGGAGAGGATTTTATATTCATTTTGTCATGGTTTTGGTTATGTTGTGCTTTACTTTGCTCCTTGTTCTTTAATTTTATTGGTTTAATTCCTATTTTGTTGTAATTTCTAGATTTATGTTAGTTCTCATGTTTTTCTGTTGTCCTATGTTGCCCTCTTGTGTGTGTTCCTTTCCCCTTGGCTCCCTCTTTGTCTCCTCACACCTGCTCCTTGTCAGCTCGTTAGCCCTCCCTTTGTCTCTGTCAGCTATTTATGCTCTCCCTCTGCTCTCACTCTTTGTTGGTTCCTCTGTTGTTGCTGGTCATATCATCGCTGCAATCGTCTCCCCTTGTCTCTCCCTGGCTCCTTCTACGTGTTTTCCCTTGATGTCTCCATGGTTCTGGTCTGTTACATTTTAGTTGGATTTTTGGACTGCCTTTGTTAACCATTTTTTCATTAAAACTACAAGTATTCACCTCAGCCTCTCTGCCTCTGCATTTGGGTCCTCCAAACCTCAACCATTTAAGTATAAGTCATTGCAGCCTATGTGTAATTCTGTCAATAATCCAATGTTTAACTTTTAGGTAACAAAACAACGTTGTTGGTTTGATGATTTGCTTTCACTTCTGATACATAAGCAATTAGACCTGTGCTCTGGTGCCTTAGCTCCAGATGTTTTCTGAGCAGCCCCGGTGCTACGCTTGTAACAGGTATAAAATGCATTAACCCCCAAAATGAGTTCAGATTAAAGATTTTCATTTAAAAAACAGTCAGATTTGTTTCTACGGTATTCCATGCAATCCAACCATCCACCGCAACTTGACCTGACAAGGAGTGAAAAGAAAAAGGAAACTTAAAAACTTATTATTTGAGCACACGCAGTACTGTGATTGCACAACTACGGGCACCGCAGGCATGGAGAAACTGGGAACCCAGGGCTGTTGACCGGCCTTATTCAATACTCATACAGATTAATCATCTTGTTATCTCGAGAAAACAATTAATGGTTTAACCGTGATAACAAGATAATTGTGTCATTATCTCGAGAAGGCAAAGGAAATAAGGCGAGTAAGAACGCTCTCGGCTTCCGTATACATACAGTAGGCCTGCGTTTTAATTGTTTTGGCGTAAATATTGGGTAATAACTTGACATATATTAATGACTGGACAGCATCAGCATAATAATTAACAAGTGTGTGTTCAGCACAAAGATGAAACAGTTTATCTGCAGCATTATCGAATATATAATTCCCTCCAAGCACAAGCAGACTCAAGTGGTTTTCTTCTACTGGTTTATTTGAAGTTGCTCTTGGTCTCTCCAAATCCACTGTGAAAACTAATGTTGACAAACATAAACATTAATGTCACCAATAATAACTTTCAGACTATATGAAATAATAGTTACAAAGTAAGCAAATAAATAAAATACTTTGTTGGCTGCATAGTGCAAGAAAAAATGGAATTATCCAAAAAATCTTTAAGTTGATGTTTCTGTAAACGTCCTTAGCCATGACCTAGAAAAGTCCACAATGACTGCTTGATTGCTTCTTATGTGAGAGCTCAAACGAGACCTTTTAAGATTTCAAAATAAAAGCACATTTAGTATGTACCAGCTAATTGAATATAAAACAAAAACACCTTAAATGAATTCTAAATGGACAATTACCTTTGAGAAAGCAAAAAATATATGATCGAATCATTATGTACAATAAGCATAAATGCAACAGTTACAGACAAGTTATGTGAATACATATAGGAAGCTTGGGGAAATCCTTTCTAACATTCAGAAATATAAAAGAGATTTAATTGAGCTGCACAGACAACTTCTGATCAGAGGGATGATTTTTAAAGAGAACATCCATATCTTGAACGGAGTTGCCTCTTATTGAGTAATATTAGAGCACGGTAGGTAGGTAGGTAGCAGTGGCGGCTGGTGAAAAATATTTTTGGTGGGGCTGATATAGCCTAGTGTATGTCTCCAACTAATCCGGAATAAGAATTCAAATAAACAATTGGACAATACATACAATTTAACAGTAATGATTTAATTTAATATATAATAACAGTAACAGTGATGATTTGGGTCACTGTGACGGGGTTCTTTGGCCTCCAAGAATCCAGGCTCAGTCGGGTTACCGGTGTTGGTGATTTATTGTGCTCAAAAACTCAAAACAGGGTGCAAAAGAAACTAAACATATACAAGATACTCTGGGCCTCAGCCTCCCTCCAGTTACCAGCAATGTAACAAAGAAATAGAAAACAGAAATTTCCGCTTTTCTTCCCACAGCCCTCATTAAATAGTTTAAGCCCCTCACCTCAGGCTCTCTTATTTCTGATTTCTTCTCATAAATCAGTTTTGTCCATCTATTACCTCCACAAACAATTGATGTACAAAAACAAATAATTTTTACAACTTAATTATTTTACACAGATTCATTGACTTATTCAATTACACCAAACGCAAAGACGCAGCCAGACTGAAGATGACAAGACCCCCACCCCCCCCCCCCCCCCCACACACACACACACACACAAACACACACACACACACACACACAGACACGCACGGCTAACCCCACTGAAATATTAAGTGTGCACCCTCAATACGCCAGCAGGTAACCAGGAACAGCTTCTGTGTTTTAAGTTCATGGAGCTACTGCTCTCAGCGCGAGTGTATTGGTCCTCACAAACACAGTATAACAGGAATGTGTGTGTGGCGCGCAAAGTTAGAGGATGTGGATTCGTCACAGTCACAGTAACCATGACATGAAATTTTCATATCCTACAACAGGGATGTTCTTCTGGCAAACGGGTAGATAAATAAGGATCTCACCGAATTTGGTGGAAGCTGCATCTCGTTCGTTACATTCGCCATCTTCCCTTTAATTGTCTGCACCTGTGCTTGGGTTCAGAAGCCTGTTAAAGCGCAGTATTTTCAGCGCCCCATGACCATAAAGTTCTGAGACGCTGATTGGCCATTAAATTCACCTAACAATAGTACATGATTGACAGATTCTCTGCAAATGTGGGTCTGTCTGATCAGCGCCCCCAGAACAGAGACGGTAGGAGTCTGTCTGTGGAAATCCACAAATTAATGACAGTAGATAGGGAAATGTAGTTTATATAATTTGTTTTGCTTATATGTAAACACTCTAGAGAGTAAAACTGACATTTATGAGTTAATTTCTAAAAATATATTTTACGTTTCTCTTTTCTTATCAGGGAGGGCGGTGCCCCAGCGCCCCCTATGGACCGGCCGCCACTTGTAGGTAGGTAGGTGAGGTTTTTTTTTTTTTTATTTAGTCTAGGTCAGGAGTCGGCAATCCAAACTGCTCAAAGAGCCATATTGGACCAAAAAAATAATAATAATAATCTGTCTGGAGCCGCAAAAATGTAAAAGCCTTATATAAGCCTCGTATAGCAACACGGGCTCTGAGTGTATTATCCCACTATAGAAAAGGACTATATGGGCTTAAATATATAATAAACATTCACGATTAAATGTTTATCCTAAAGCAAATGTCACATAGTAGCCTGAGGTGACGGAAGAACAGTGAACGCTCCCATCGCGCACCGCTTCACCGAGCGCAGCTTCACCACCTTTACTGCGCGATTTAAGTTTTCTTGCAATTATGAAATTATAGAAACACAATAAAGAAATCTTTCTATGGTGGACATGTTTCTGTTGGGAGGAGTTTATTTGAAACATGAGGAACCAAGCAGGAGTTGACATCAGAGCTGTGCTCTCTAACCCTGAAATCCCACATCCTCCGTCACCATTGTTCCTTGGTCTGATTAATATTTTTAGGATTTGGGGAAAAAATTTAAGAAAGTTCAGATACCTGCATCAAAGCGCTACCCGTTTGATCTGTGAATGGTTTTCCATCCTTGCAACAAAACTAGCAGCAGTAGTGGATTTTGGAAATGCAATCCATTTCTTAAATCTATCTTTGCGCTCCTCTAATTTATCCTGGAATCGCACTTTTTCTCTCAGTCCCAGCTTGGTGGGCTGCAGATTTAGCTTTCCCTGGAAATGCCTTTCCAAATTTTTCTCTTTTTTTTTTGACACCCTCATTACAAAGGCAAAATGCAGGCAGTCGTTCTGCATTGATAATGAAAGCAAATGAGCCTATTTAAATCCTCTTTTCTCATCAGCAATCTTCCTTTTTTTCCCTTTGGGATTCATATTCCGGGACACACCTGCAGCTTTGTTTGCCTGGCACCGCGCCACGCTGGTTCCAACTTATGATCACTGATCTCTA